TCTAAATGGTTCATTTTCAAATTTTAAAATGTTTGGATTTATTGGTCGGAGTTTTGATCCCCACCAATACCTTCAAAAAAATCCCTCCGCCTCCAAATTGTACACTATTTAAAATAAATAAATACTCTACATGTTTGGTCATTCAAAATTTGTTTAGATTAATTCTCATTTTTTTATTTTTTAAAAAAGATAAATATTATTTTGTATAGTACTTTTAACTTTATGATTATTCTTTTGCTTAATTATCCATTATATCATAAAAAGGCTGTTTTTATATTTATCCTTTTTTAAGGATAATATTGATAGAAATATATATTATCTCTAAAACCATAAAATCTCATGCTATATATTTTCTTTGTCCCAATCCATGAATCATAATCTCAAACTAATTTTTCTTGGTAATGGTTATAACTACCGTAACTTTTGTTAAAGCAACTAAAAACTATAAAATTTTTATCTTATTAATTTGATTATTAAAAATAACTGACAACTAATAAAATAATTGATATTTATTATTTAATAGATTAAAATCAATTAAGCTACATACTACACCTTTCAGCAGTTAATACACTTTTTATTTGGTGCTATGGCTGTTGCTATTGTAGCTATATATGGTTGTTAGCTACATACTACACCTTTCACAGTAAAGCAATAATAAGAAGTTTTGTACTTCCTGTACAAACACAAAAACTGTGGTGGCTGGCTACTTACTAAATCCTTTAAATACTCGAGCAATAATCAGGATGACCAAAGAAAAACAAAAAGGTAGAACAATAATTAGGAGTCTTTTTGCTGCTGGTGTTCTGCCTTTTTGGCCAACCTTGTGCTCTGTCTTGTGGGCTTTTAGTTTGGCTACCACATTATTATAGTCTGGAAGCCTTTGGTGCACATGACTATAATTTTCCTGAGTCCAATTCTCATCATTAACAGTGCAAATCTCCTGCACTTCCATATCCAGAACTTCAGTTCCCGGTTCGAAGTTGTAGAGTCTGTAATCCTGGACCTGCAATGTTATAAGAGGTTTATAGATGAGTATAGCAACAGCCATATTACTTTGTTATGCATCAACATCAACAACAACGTTAAGAACCCACCTCAGAACCGTGTAACCCGAGATGAATGTTGTATTCTTTAGCTATTTCAGTAATCAATTTCAATTTCAAATCCTCTGGAACAAGTTTAATGTGGATCAGGTGCTGCTTCATCTGACAATTCACCAGGTTTCCCGGATGTAGTTCCACATTGACCCTCTCGAACTCAGAACCAAAACGTTGTTTAAACAGATTTCGTAACAAATGCAGCTCAGGCAATTCACCACATCTTGAGGCAGCAAACACTAGACTCGATATTGCTTCCCCAACGTCAGTACGCAACAATTGCCAGCAACTGTGAGAATCAAAATCAATCAACTCATATATGGTATTATGGAATCTATCAAAAATTCAAAAGAAGTGAAGAATTCCAAATCGAAAACGATTAATATCTTTATTAATTAGTCTACCTTTGTCTGGTGACATGGGAAATGTTGGTCATGATGTGTATACAGAAATGTTCAATCTTATCATATGCACACAGGCGCTGCTGGTCCAAATATAGCTGCACAACCTAGTGCCCAATTAAAAGAAAGTTTAGTCTATAGTAAGTATTATCACAGTATCTAAACTTACGAAGCAAGGAAAATGGCTTAAAGGGTAGTTCATAATAGACAACAGACCCTATATCTGGCATTGTTGAATTGTCCATTCTGGAGAAGCTCAGCAATGTCAGCTCGAGACTGCCTTATGATGGATTCTTTTCTATTCCTCTGGATACTCATACGTTTCTGAACTTTCTTGATCTTGCTGCAGCATGAAGTAGAAATAGTGGGAAAAAAGTTTTACAAATATGGGTATAGTTTTGCAATTCAAACTATCCCAGATTGAAAAATTAGAACCATTAAATGGGATATATATACATATATACATGCACATCTTACTTCTTTATTTCCTCCATTTTCCCTAGGGACTTAAAATTTAGAAGCATGTTATATCCAAAATAAGGTATCTGAATCATCATTTATTTTGTTACATTAATGAATATACTTTGCCTTATTGGTTGTATATATTTGAAAGCTGGTGATATTCCCCTTGGTCCTACTTTTATCGCCTTTGGGGATCTCCTTTGCATTATATGGCAATGTACCAAAAAAATAAAAATAAAAAAAAGGAATGGGAGGAGAAACAAAGGAACTTCGTTTGAGATTGTTATGCCATGTTTTGGCCATAAGATTTTCTCTCTTTTTATCCCCTTTGTGGCTACCGTTTGCATTATATGGCGATATTACCAAAAAAATAAAAATAAATAGAAGGAATGAGAGAAGAAACAAAAGGAGCTCCGTCTGAGATTGTTCTGCTATGTTTTGTCTATAGGTTTTTTTTCTTTTAATCACATAGTAATACTATTAGTAAAAGTAAATGTTGTTTTGCAAATTAAATTTAAATTTTAAATTTTCAGATTAATATCCAAAAAAATTAATGTCTTTAATGCACTGAGTTGATGTAGACATTGATTGTGCCAAATGAATTAATCTTAATCTTAAAATAAAAATAAAAATAAAAATAAAAACTACTTGAAAACACACTAATCTCTTGGGGGGCAAAAAAACTCTCATTTTTAAAGAAGAAACTAATATCCATTATGTAAATAAAAATTGTGAAAACTGTGAAAACTGTAAAAGCGAAACAAGTTGCGGAAGTGGGAAAGAACAAACTAAAAGCTTATACTGCTATGATATTTAGCATAGAAATTTGAAATGAGTAGTTAGAGATTAAAAATTTAGAGTAATAAAAGGAATAAAAATATTTGTTTGAACCCCTAATTCAAGCAGCACTATACAAACAAGAAGACAAAATTGGAACAAACCATAATTCTTCAACATTCTTCTGATATGTGTTGAACAAATACGAAGAGCCTTTATATATATAGGCAATATGGTAGAAGCATGTCTCTAGATATTATATTTTATTAATGGAAAATTTCTGATTATAATAATTCACCATTTACTACATACTTCGTATATAAATAAAATGAAATCCATCATGCACATTATTCTAAAATCAATCTAATATGTTAATGTACTAAATACGCTCACTTACATGGGATTTGTCTTAAAGCTCTTGCATTTTCTTAAACAAATCATTCTTGAGTTTGAATTAGTGTTACATGGTTTGAGAAAATATTAACAAGTCATTAAGTTATTAATGTATTTCTAGATTAGTTTGTGCACTTCGAGATTAATCTATTTTAAATCTATTAAAAGTAAAATATTTACATTTAAAATATGAAATTCACAATAAATAGTTTTTTTACTGACCACCCTAATAAATTAAATCTTAGTAAACAAAAGTAAACACCCTTACTAAATAAGTCTCAACTTCTTGAGTAGCGATGTTAGTGTGGTCTTGATGGGATTAGAGTCCTTCCTCATCTATATTCCCACATAGATTTTCGACAAAATAAAATGTGCTTCCATCCTTCTTACCCACAGGGAATGGATCCATACGGGATTCCACACTATACCAATCGATATTACAAAATTAATTTAATTATTTTTATTTTATTTATTTTAAAATTAAATATTTTAAAGGGCCATTAAGGCCAAAAAATTGTATTGAGTTAGGTTTTATTTAGAGTAATTTGATTTTAATATTTGATTAAAATTAAGAATGAATAATTAGTATGGATTCAGGAATGTCTCTCAACTGCGAGGATCTCGGTGTTAATAAATGGAAGTACAACGAAGGAATTCTCTGTATCCAAAGGCCTTCGTCAAGGTGATCCTTTGTCCCCTTTTCTATTTTTATTGGTTGGAGAAGGTTTGTGTGGGTTGGTCAAAAAAGCTGAGTGTGAAGGGCTTTTGAGAGGGGTGGAGATTGGAAGGGGAGGGGAGGTGTTGTCGCTATTACAATTTGCAGATGACACAGTTTTCATAGGGACAGCTGATGCAGAAAATGTTAGAGTTGTGAAAGCTATCTTGCTTTGGTTTGAAATGATCTTTGGATTAAAGATTAATTTTAGCAAGAGTCATCTGTACGGGTTTAATATTTCGGATGGTTGGTTACAAGGTGCTGCAGACATGTTACACTGTGGGGTGGGCAAAGTACCTTTTATATACTTGGGTTTGCCAGTAGGAGGAAATCTGGGGAGGAAAAGGTTTTGGAAGTCGGTGCTAGATCGGTTTCATCAAAAGCTTGCCACTTGGAAAAGCCCATTACTATCCTTTGGAGGCCGGATTACCTTAATAAACTCGGTACTCTCTGCTCTCCCTATTTTTTATTTGTCTTTATTTAAGATTCCTAAAGTTGTTCTTGTTGAGTTGATTAAAATTCAGCGGAATTTTTTTTGGGGAGGTGCGAGTTTGGCTAAAAAAATTCCATGGGTTAGTTGGGAGTGTATGTGTGTGGAGAAGGGAAAGGGGGGTTTAGGAGTGGTTGATTTAGAGAGAAAGAATGGGGCTTTGTTGGGGAAATGGTGGTTTCGACTAGGAGATGGTTTAGATAGCTTATGGAAGAGGGTGATTTGGGAAAAATATTATGGGGGTAGGAGGGAGAGGGATGTTACTTCCGTTGAGGGTTTGAATATGTCTCAGATTTGGAAGGATATTGTGAGTTTGGGTAGTAGATCAGAACGATTATCAAAGATGTTAGTAAGGGGTTTTAAGTGGGAAGTTGGGGATGGAAGCTGTGTGGATTTTTGGAGTGACAAATGGGTAGGGGATAAGTCTTTGAAGGAGCTATATCCTAGGTTGTTTGTGTTGGCTGTAAGGACGGAAGGAATACTGAAGGATATGGGGGTTTGGCGTGGAGAAAATTGGGTTTGGGATTGTAAGTGGAGATGTGGATGTAGAGGGAGGGCAGCAGAAGAGGAAGAACATTTTCGGGCAATGATCAATGGATTTAAGTTGCGGATAGATAGGGAGGATTCTTGGAAATGGGTGCATAGTAGTGATGGTTGTTAAACGGTGAAGGCAGCATATGAGTTCCTAACACCAAATTCTAGTTTTTTTGAGGAGAAATGGGCTAAGGTGATTTGGAATAGATATGTCCCTTCTAAAGTGAGTGTTTTTGGGTGGAGAATGTTTTTGAATAGGTTAGCGACTAAGGAGAATGTATGTAAGAGAGGAATTGTGTTGTCAGGGGGCGATGTGGGTTGCATGTTCTGTCATGAGGGGGAGGAGCAACTTCATCATATTTTATGTGGGTGTAAAAGGGTATGGTTAGTATGGATGAAGGTTTTGGGGTGGTGGGAGATTCAGAGTGTTTTGCCAAATGATCTGTTTAGTTTGGTGGAGTCAGTGGTATTTGGTATAAGTGGAGGAGTTTTGAAGGATTTAGGGGCTCTCATGTTTCTGGTTACGGCTTGGTTTATTTGGTATTGGAGGAATATGTATGTGTTTAGGACAGAGGGGATGTCTGAAGAGCAATTATTTGAGTCTATTCAAGCAAAATCTTTTTTATGGCTCAAAAACAAGGAACCAGGGTGTGTGTTTTCGTATACGGATTGGATGTTAAGGCCAAGGGAGTGCAGGGAGGCTATTGTGCAACATCACAAGAATCTAAAGAGTGCAAGGAAACTGCAACAGGAAGCAATCTGGAAGAGAGCTGATTAGGAAGGGTAAAGCTCGCTCAAGTGCATTGGTGGTTTTCGTTACTATTGGATTTTGAGTGTTGGAAGCTTGACTAAGCTGCAGAGGCATTTGTACGCTGTTTTTATGCTTCTTTGTTCGGTTCTGCTTTGTTTTCATGATGGCTCTATTTGATGCTTTAAAATCTTGTGATATAGTGCATCTTTGATTAGTGTATATGGGCAGGAGTACCCTTGTGCTCTATATAATAAGATTTGTTTTTGCTGATAAAAAAAAATGAATGAATAATTAGTATGACCTATAATTATGAAATAAATGTTTAAATTGACTTGGATATTCAATAAATTTTTTATTTTTTTTTTATTTTTCATGGGAAAAGGAGACCCTTGCTAGGATTGATAAGGTGGGAAAATTTTTTCATTAAATTTCTTGAGATGAAAATGCCCCTATCCCACCTCATCCTACAAAAAGAAACATTCCTTCTAACTTAGTCTCACAGGAGTATTTATTCCTACTAGATCGAAATAAATTGTCACCTCTATTTTTGGTTAGTTAAAGAAAAAATAAACCAAATTTTTCTATAATAAGATTTGTCCCAAATAAATAAATAAATAAAACAAATGCCAAATTCCCTAGTGGACGTCAAGAGTATGAACCCCTTTATTGGGGATGTCGAATGGGAAGGTTATCCTTTTCTTTCTCTTCTTTTGATAACCTTGAAGGTTGTCTATCATCAGTGTTAATAAAAATACTAATTAAGCCAAATAATGTCACATCATACCACTTAGCTGATTTCTTCCATCTTGAGGATTTGATCCAAGCTTGAAGTTTTTCGCACCACATTTCAGCAACTCAGTCAACTAGTCAAATAGTTAAGAACAAAAAAAAAAGGTCAATTAATTACACAAGGAAAATGAAGAAAAATACAACTTAAAAATCATGACAGGAACTAAGATGAAGCTCGACAGTCCACTTGCTTCCGCCATTAAGATACATGAAATTGATAGCTTATTTGGTTTGAAAAAAATAGAAAAGAAAGGGGTCTTCTCCCCTTATTTAAATAATTTAAAATGAATAAATAAATAAAAAGAAGCTTATTCTCTCGTTTTCTCGTTAATTTTTGTCCTTATCCATCCAAGAGAATTTTCTTTTCTCCCCTTCATTTTCATTCAAACCAAACATATCTTTATTGTTTTTTTTTTTTTTAACAAATTACAATTATTTACATGTATTAATTGAGGAAAGAGGTTCCGTAAAGTTTGAACAAGCCACTTAGAGGAGATGAACGGACTTAACCCAAGGTCCATGCTAGTGGGTTGAAGCGAGCTATTTTTTTAATTTAATTTTTATTTTTAGAACATTTTAACATTAAAAATCTCATGACAACTTAATTTTTCTGCATATTGAAAAATTAAACATGCAAACTGCCTACTATTAATAGGACCGCCACTAGGACAGGCCCAACTAAACCACGTAGACTCTGTAATCTGTATAAGCCAGAGAGCCCAATTCTCCAATTACTAAAGAGGCCCAACTCAAACTTATCCCAACCCATATCTGGCCCAGATTAACTTCTGGCCTACAAACGCCTTACAACTTTCCTTCCCGTTCTCCAAAGAGATCAAACCCGAACTCCTTTTTTCCAAAAATATATCACACATGTTCCTACTTTTTCTCCTCTCAAAAGTGAAAACCAACCTTAAAAACTCAAATGATGTAACCTCCACCTCAACCTGAGTTCTCTTCACCTTAACATATATAGATTCAATAGAAATCAAAAGAAATGGCAATATTAGTGACAATGAAACCCTCTCTCGATTTTTAGTGAATAAAGCAGATGATAAATTAGATTTCATCACAGAGAATATTAAAAACTTCTCAATAAATATTAAAGGTGCTTCATCTAAAATTAATCTAAAATTAATATAATCATCTTTGACTTTTATTTCGTTTTTAGTTTTCCCCCTGTCCCTGTATTCCCCTCTTTTTCTTAAAAAAATGGTAGTAGATTTGCCGCACTCTATATTTCAAACCTATAGAAGCAAATCCACCCTTGCTTAAAAGTATATTTGGATAAAAATTAAAAAAGAAAAAATTAATGTTAAAATTATTTAGATAGACAAAAGTAAAGAAAAGGTGAGGATAATATTTTATTTAATTAAATAATATAAAGAATAATATAATATTTATATTTTAATTATACTAATTAAATAAATAATTAAAATAAAATATTAATATATATTTTTTAAAATTTAGAAAAAAGTAAATGTGCAAAGAAATCCATCTTAATGCCTTTAAAATGAAGAGATAGAAAATGGAAGAGTGAAGGGAGGCTTCATCTCCACTCATCTCCACCCTCATTTATTAAAATAAATAATCCAAATAAGAGAATAAGGAATCCCCCCCCCCCTCTCCTTTCCTCCCCTCCAACCACTTAAATCTAAAACAGAGATTAAATTCTAACTTTTGAAATAAGATTTTCTTAATCGTTAAGAAAAAAAAATCATACTTAAATTCTAAACCTTTATAATATGTACTTACTTGTTCATTAAGAAAACAACAAAATGAAAGAACATGAAGCTTAGACATTAAAGATAAAGTAATGTAATTCTTCTCCATTTCAAAAAGAAACAAACATGCATCGGCACAACTTCAAAGCTAGCAAAGTTAATTCTTTCAAAGAAATTAAGAAAGTTACCTCTAAATAACAGAAGCTTAACAACAGAGAGAAAGGAACGTAGAAATAGAACTTCTTTCTTTTGCAGTCCCAAAGCCAATTTTGCTTCCTCTCCTCTGATTTTCTCACCTCCTCCGATCAACTTTCTCAATAAACTCAGAAAAGGAAAACCCCCTGAAAATTCCCCCATTCACTCTAGGGTAGAGCTACCATATATTTAGTTATGCCTTGGAAAAGCGTGAGAAACTTGGTTGAAAAGTTAGCTACAGGTTTCGTTCCTATTTAGTGTTCCAGTTTCTATTTTTAAAATGATATTTTATGCTCTTATGTCATACTTAACCCATTTATTCAAACTGAATACGTGTTCTCCTGAAGTTTGGGTTTTCATTTTTCTAGTTTTTTTTTTTTTCTATTGACAAGATATACTTTTTCTAGCCAGTTGATATTTATACAAGAATAATGTTTTTATTTTGAAATGCTTAAGTAAAATATTAATATTGATAAAAAATATTCTGAGTATTTTTAAATGATTTTTTTAATAAAAAAAAAAGTTCTCAAATCGACGGCATGCCTCCCCAAAACTACAGCAATAACCCAATACATCATGCCAAAGCCC